TCTTTGCGCACTAGGACCCGGAAGATACGCACACCGGACGGGGGGCGGCAGTAAACATGGCAGACGCAGACGCTTCAGCGGATGCTGGAAATAAACAAAGTGTTTATCACGAGCTGCTCAGGTAACTGACACAATTAACTTATTTAGATCAAGCGTGTAGGTCTTCGTGTGTTGATTTGATCGATTTATTAGTAGTAGCGCAGTCATATAAATCCTCTGTTAGCCATATAGCACGGGAAACACGCCGCGAGTCCACCAAACTCAAGGATCATCACATCCTCGTCACGTGACTCAAAGTGGAAGCAGACTTTTATTTGTGATCCTGAATATTATTGTGAAGATCAACTCGGTTTTGTTTCTGCGTAATTTGTGTCGTTCAGTTTATGTTGATCAAACAAAAACATTAAATATCCTTTGATAGGTTTTAAAATATGTGTACAACAACATGGATGCCCAAACTTTTCCTATGAAGGGCCAAAATCCAAATATCGTTGAAAATAAATATCCCAAACTATGTTACATTAAAGTTGCCATGCGTAATTTTCTAATTCATTTAATAATATTTATAAATAGATATAAGCATTAATTTGAATCGTATTAACTAATGCAGTATAATTGTAATTATTGCAATAAGACGATCACATTTACAACAGTGTAGTTCTAGTCAAGAATCTGCCTTTGCCTTGATTCGCTCTCTGCATTGTCCTCTATCTGTCGCGTAACAGTATGTACATTTAACCTAAATCTCATTAACTTAAACCATTTCAATTAAAATATTTAATTTCAGTTAGGCTTTTTGTAGCTTAACAATAAAACAAACCGTTAAAGTTTACATAAAATTTGAAATGACAATCTCTAAACCAGGGGTCAGCCATCTCGGTTGTGAAGGACCTGCGTCCCTGCAGGGTTTAGGGTTCAAAATTAATATTGTAAATAATTATCATTATAATTACTGCTTTTACATTACTGTGAGGGTATTATTATGGGTAGAGTCACGGTGGATGTTAATAAAATACAATTTAATGAGTAATTTAATAAATAATATGAATATTACTCTGTATAATCACTGTTTTTACATTACTGTGAGGATTGGGGTAGGAGTAGACATTAATACAATACAATGGGTAATTTAATAAATAATATTAGTAATTCTCATTATAAATACTGTTTTTATCTTACTGAACAGGTATTTTTTATGGTTGGGGTCACGGTGTACCTTAACAGTATGTATATTTAAGCTAAATCTCATTAACTTAAACCATTTCAATTAAAACATTTAATTTCAGTTAGGTTTTTTGTAGCCTAACAATAAAACAAACCATTAAAGTTTACATAAAATTTGAAATGACAATCTCTAAACCAGGGGTCACCAATCTCGGTTGTGAAGGACCTGCGTCCCTGCAGGGTTTAGCTCCAACTTGCCTCAACACACCTGCCTGGATGTTTTTAGTATACCTAGTAATACCTTGATTAGCTTGTTTAGGTGGATTTGATTAGGGTTAGAGCTATAATCTGCAGGACACCGGCCCTCCAGGAACAAGTTTGGTGACCCGTGCTCTAAACCATCCCCATCATTTTCCCTCTTTTCTAAGATGGGCCAAATTAAAGGTCACCATGGGCCAACTTTGGGCATCTTCTGGTATACAACAATCAACTAAAAATAATTCAGACAACTCGTAGCATGATAATATTTACATTACTATTAAAAGTATTAACTATTAATGCACTTCTGCAGTACATATAAATAAATGACATCTGAATAATTTTTGGTGTGATTGTAAGTAGGCATGGGCCGGTATACGTTTGTGAGTCTCATAACCTTGGATAAAAAGCATCATGGTATGAAGGTATTGTGGTTACAGCTCTATAATAAGTTTTTTTTAAATGTCTCAGTTAAAAAAACAACATTTTTGTCCCCATTGAGCACATTATACAGTATTTTATTTGACATTTTTTCAATTTACAATTCACATTTACACTATGGGTCTGAGAAAAGCGTATTATAAATAATATGTATTAATATTATTTTTTTATTATTATTAATAAATCATTGACTTCTGCTATCTTTATTAGAAAAAAAAAAACACAGATTTCTTTAAAACACATTAAAAACACTTAAAAAAACCTTTACACATACCTTAGGAACGGTTTTGCGGTTTTAAAACCTTGACTTTTTTTCTTTGAGAAACCGGTGATCATCCCGTGTCTAATTATAAGACGTAAACAAAGCAAAATTCAATAAGTTGTACTTTTTTGTTGTTGTCAGCAGAGGTGAGTAGAGTTTGCAAAATCTATACTCAAGTAAAAGTAACTTAATCTTAAAAGTTACTCGAAGATGACGTCGCTTACATCTGATTGTATGTTTTCTTGCGCAGCTGGATGTTGAACTCAGGAAAAATAATGCTTTGTTTTGGACAAAACTGATTAGATAAAGTCACACCTGAGGATTCTGCTTGGTCTTAAAGCCTTTTTCAATGGATTGATTTCACTATTTATGATGGCATAGCACTTACAATAAGACAAATGAGCTCATGTATGGGACAAATTCTGGACCTTTATTATTGAGGGGTGAGTCTTTCCAACCACCCGAGCCCCTCACTGGCTATGGCCCTGACTAGTTACCATTAATAAGGTTCAAATTGGGATAACATAACATTGACACTTACCACTAACGTTACTTTTTTCAGGTTGAGCTGGAATTCATGTATACATTTTTGATGTCAGTTCAATGTAGAACGTGCATCGCATTGTCAATATATTCTTGTTGACATTTTGAAGTGAAAACAGACTGAACTTGAGGTCGGGTGACCTGGTCCGGTAAACTCACTGCACAGACAGCATGACCGTCCTTCTCGGAACCGCAGATGGCCATGGCGTGACCGCAGTATAAACTCGCCAACACAATCTCACGGCATTTCGTAACTTTTTGATTTAGTGGCTAATTCGTATGAATTCTTATGATCTAATTCGTACAATTTAGTACGATTTGCTCATCCCCCAATGACGTTTGAGTTTAGGGGTGGGGTTAGGTCCCACACCGCCTTTTTAAAATCGTACAATTTCGTACGACAGAACTCGTACGAATTAGCCACTAAACTGGCTAAACGTAAAATACTTACGTTTTCGCGTGAGATCAGGCTGAATTTGCACGTCTTCCTCGAGTTCAGCTATTATTCCAACACAGGTGCGCGTGCTCTAACCGAAAGCGGGAAACGCGTCTCTATAGCAACCTCTCACTACACAAGCTCTACAATGCAGCGCCTCGCGATATTTTCAAACAAGTCATATGGATCATATTATTATCATTTGACAGGAACGCCGCCAAATGTAGTGAAGTAAGAGTTTACTCGAGTCAGACTAAAAGTACACACTTTTAAATGTACTCAAACAGTACTCGTTACCCAATCATTTTACTAAAGTAAATGTAGCGGAATTAATGTAATTCGTTACTACCCACCTCTGTTTGTCATTATATGTATTCATTGTGTGTGTGTGTGTGTGTTGTGTATGTATGTATTTATTTATTTGTTTATAGGTCTGTTTTTTGTTGTGTGATATATCGCACCAAAATATATTGCGATAAACGATACTACTCTCATTTTAAGACCATTTTATGCCACCTATTATTATATAATGCCAGAATGACAATGTAATATCATCACGATTCAAATACACTCCTCCAAAGTGCACATTACATTTTATTCTTAAGAATATTCAGTTTAATTATCGTCATTTGAACAATTTAATAATCAGGCATTGGAGTCAGAATGTGAAAACGCATATCCTAAATAATTAATAATAAATGCTGACGAGGTAAAGATGAACAGAGGCTGCGATATCTGCTACCAGATCTGTTTTCAGTCTTCAGACACCCACATGAAGACATACTATAGTAATTTATAGTAAATACTACAGTGTTTTTAACTATTGACATTGACTCTTTAATAGAGAGAGATGTTGCAGCTAAAATGTTGCTAGAATTGTTTTTTATGTATGGGCGATTATATATTTTTATATATATATTATATTATATATATTATCACCAAAAATGATTGAGCTCATGTCCATGTGTTGTGCGATCAGTCCATATATTGGTTATTGTGACAGGCCTATTTATTGATTGATTTTAAATATTTGACTATATTTGTGGTGTGTCTTTGTTTGCAGTCCGTCAGAGCTGTTTGAGGCTCGCTCCCGCAGCCATAAGATCCCAGTGCGTGGCCAGAAAGAGTTCCTGCCCAGCGGCTCCGAGCAGCAGAGCCAACGACTGCAGCACAGCCTGGAGGAGCACTGGACACTGCTGGCTGAGGAGAGAGTCGAGAGACTGTGAGTCAGAGTTAAAACACACACACACACACACACACACACACACACACACACACACACACACAGCAAGGTTATAATAGTTGTGGATTTTTCATTAGTATAAGTTTTTATTTCGTTTTGACTTTTTGTTGTCAAATCAGTTAGTTTAATTAGTTTTTAGAGGAAGATTCACTAGTTTTTATTAGTTTCTGTTAGGGCTGGGCGATTTGGCCTCAAATCAAAATCTCAATGAATTGATCATTTTAACTCGATTTCCGTTTATTAACAGTTATTTTATTTGTTTATTTAATGTTTAACCCTCATAGTTCACTGACAAGTTTTAAATGCCGTCTAAAGACATCTCATGGCACAGATAATTTATGATAATAATGGTATTTAAATGTGTTAATGAAGACGTTTAAGTGTCTGCTTGGGTTGTATTCAATGTTTTCAACGTGCTGCTGTCATGTCCATAAAATTATTATAGTGTTGTATCGATTTAGTATCAGTATCGTGATATTTAATTTAGGTATCGAAGTCAAAAGTTTGGTATCGTGCAGCACTAGTTTGGATTACTTCCAAACTTGATGCTTTTGACGACGTTTTGAAATGTCAACAGCGCCCTCGAGTGAGTTTGTATTTTGAAACGTGCGTCAAAGCACAGGCAGACAAACATATTTCAGATTTGCAAAAATGTAGACAGCGCCCTCTAGTGGATTTGCCATCTAAAATGTGCAAGAAAATTAATCCAAAGTAGCGCATTTCAGGTTCATAAAAATGTTGACGACGCCCTCTAGTGGGTTTGTGTTCTGAAACATGCAACAAAACACAGCCTAACATTTCAAATGAGCAAAAATGTAGAAAGCGCCCTCTAGTGAATTTATCTAAACGTGCAACAAAGCGTATCCAAAGTTGCACGTTTCTGATTAGCAGCGATGTCAACAGGGCCCTCTAGTGGATTTGTCATCTGAAACGTGCAACAAAATGTATGCAAAGTAATGCACTTCAGATACAGTATTGAGCTAGCAGACATATTAGTAGCGGCGATCACTAATACAAAAATAAAACTCGTGATCGGACACAAATGTGTTAATGAAGACGTTTAAGTGTCTGCTTGGGTTGTATTTAATGTTTTCAACGTGCTGCTGTCATGTCCATAAAAATATTATAGTGTAGTATCGATTTAGTATCAGTATCGTGATATTTAATTTAGGTATCGAAGTCAAAAGTTTGGTATCGTGCAGCACTAGTTTGGATTACTTCCAAACTTGATGCTTTTGACAACGTTTTGAAATGTCAACAGCGCCCTCTAGTGAGTTTGTATTTTGAAACGTGCGTCACTGGCAGACAAACATATTTCAGATTTGCAAAAAATGTAGACAGCGCCCTCTAGTGGATTTGCTATCTGACACGTGCAAGAAAATTAATCCAAAGCAGCACATTTCAGATTCGCAAAAATGTTGACGACGCCCTCTAGTGGGTTTGTGTTCTGAAACATGCAACAAAACACAGCCTAACATTTCAAATTAGCAAAAATGTAGAAAGCGCCCTCTAGTGAATTTATCTAAACGTGCAACAAAGCGTATCCAAAGTTGCACGTTTCTGATTAGCAGCGATGTCAACAGGGCCCTCTAGTGGATTTGTCATCTGAAACGTGCAACAAAACGTACCCTAAGTATTGCAATTCAGATTTGCCAAAATGCTTTCAGTGCCCTCCAGTGGATTTGTCATCTGAAACGTGCAACAAAATGTACCCAAAGTAACATTTCAAGTCACTGGTAGCAAAAATGTAGACTGTGGACTCTAGTGGATTTGTCATCTGAAACGTGCAACAAAATGTATGCAAAGTAATGCACTTCAGATACAGTATTGAGCTAGCAGACATATTAGTAGCGGCGATCACTAATACAAAAATAAAACTCGTGATCGGACACAAATGTGTTAATGAAGACGTTTAAGTGTCTGCTTGGGTTGTATTTAATGTTTTCAATGTGCTGCTGTCATGTCCATAAAATTATTATAGTGTTGTATCGATTTAGTATCAGTATCGTGATATTTAATTTAGGTATCGAAGTCAAAATTTTGGTATCGTCAGCACTAGTTTGGATTACTTCCAAACTTGATGCTTTTGACAACGTTTTGAAATGTCAACAGCGCCCTCTAGTGAGTTTGTATTTTGAAACGTGCGTCACTGGCAGACAAACATATTTCAGATTTGCAAAAATGTAGACAGCGCCCTCTAGTGGATTTGCTATCTGACACGTGCAAGAAAATTAATCCAAAGTAGCACATTTCAGATTCGCAAAATTGTTGACGACGCCCTCTAGTGGGTTTGTGTTCTGAAACATGCAACAAAACACAGCCTAACATTTCAAATTAGCAAAAATGTCAAAAGCGCCCTCTAGTGAATTTATCTAAACGTGCAACAAAGCGTATCCAAAGTTGCACGTTTCTGATTAGCAGCAACGTCAACAGGGCCCTCTAGTGGATTTGTCATCTGAAACGTGCAACAAAACGTACCCTAAGTATTGCAATTCAGATTTGCCAAAATGCTTTCAGTGCCCTCCAGTGGATTTGAAACTTGCAAAAAAATGTACCCAAAGTAACATTTCAAATCACTGGTAGCAAAAATGTAGACTGTGGACTCTAGTGGATTTGTCATCTGAAACGTGCAACAAAATGTATGCAAAGTAATGCACTTCAGATACAGTATTGAGCCAGCAGACCAGTAAATTAGTAGCGGCGATCACTAATACAAAAATAAAACTCGTGATCGGACACAAATGTGTTAATGAAGACGTTTAAGTGTCTGCTTGGGTTGTATTTAATGTTTTCAACGTGCTGCTGTCATGTCCATAAAATTATTATAGTGTTGTATCGATTTAGTATCAGTATCGTGATATTTAATTTAGGTATCGAAGTCAAAATTTTGGTATCGTGCTGCACTAGTTTGGATTTCTTCCAAACTTGATGCTTTTGACAACACTACTACTTTATTGTCTGCATGTTTTATTTATCCGTGTATTTTCAAAACGTAAACACATCTTGCCGTTTCCGTTACGCATTTTTTTAAAATGCTATATTCTAAAACTCGCATAAAGCTAGGAAGATTTAAAAACAGCTAATTATGAATTAATTAAAATTTTTTGGCTGAACTATGCTTTTTAGACGAAGTCACGATGTTTTCATGTTTGCTTTTGTTTATCAGAGGGAATCTGGTGAATGCAGTATGGAGTCCTGAAGAAAAACTGGTGGAGTTGCAGTCACCGGCTGTGAGTCAAACATCCATCTGTTTACATGAGGGTGTGCCATATTTGTTGTTTGCTACTAATAATAATAATAATTCCTTGCATTTACAGTCACTTGCTTCATCTCTAAATGGATCAGCCTTTTTGAATGAATCGCTTAAATCAGGGGTCACCAATCTCGGTCCTGGAGAGCCGGTGTCCCTGCAGGGTTTAGCTCCAACTTGCCTCAACACACCTGCCTGGATGTTTCAAGTATGCCTAGTAAGACCTTGATTAGCTTGTTCAGGTGTGTTTGATTAGGGTTGGAGCTAAAATCTCCAGGACACCGGCTCTCCAGGAACAAGTTTGGTGATCACTGAATTAAATGAATGACTCAGTGAATCAGTCGTTAAGATGGTGACTTGCTGACAACTACTGATGGTTTTGTTGTCACGTTCATTATCCATACACACCTAAACGAGCCAATGGAGAAAAAAACACACACACACACACACACACACACACAAAATACTGTTTAATTATTCTTATAGATTAAAATCTACAAATAATGCTAGAATGCTATTAATATCGTCAGTGTCACACACTCGTAGTTTCATAGTCAGCTCTTAGTAGTTCTTTGTTTTTTGCAGGGGAAGTTTTGGCAGACGATGGGTTTTTCAGAAAGAGGCAAGCAGTATCTGCAACCCGAAGAGGCGCTCTACCTCATGGAATGTGTGAGTGTTTATTTTTATAGTCATATTATTTATATCATGTTAGTCATTTAGTATATAATATAATATAATAGTCATTTTATATCATCTATTAGTGTTGCTATGTTCAGAGGCCGCTGTATTGTTGATGTATCTGCTGCTAAAAGACTCAATCTCTGTAGTCGATCATGGTCACTGTTCAGAATCATCACACTGAAGTAAATCTTCATCTTTTTGTGGAAACTGGTTAAACAGTTGAGTTTTACCATTGTTAAATTCATTAGGCAATCTCCAGGTCTGGCAGAAGCACTTTTAGCTTAGCTTAGCATAAATCATTGAATCGGATTAGACCATTAGCTTAGTCCAGGAGTTTGTAAAAGAGTTGGTCATGGAAATTCAGCTTTTTAGTTCGTCAGAAAGTTAGAGAATTTGACATTTTACTTACGCCTGATTCACACGGGGCTTCATCGTCAACGCTTGACAGAGGGCGTGTCTGAAGTTGGGGCTGACGCTGATATGACGATCGTGTCAGTCCCAACATCAGACACGCCCACTGTCAATCGTTGACGCTGAAGATGAACAGTGCGAAATGAAAAGCCAGCTATTCCAGCATGTGCTTTACACAGCGAATGCCGTTCCAGCTGCAACCCTGTACTGGGAAACACCCATACACACTCATTCACACACACACACTCGTACACTACAGCCAATGTAGTTCATCAATTCCCCTATAGCGCAGGTGTTTGGATTGTGGGCGGAACCGGAGCACCCAGAGGAAACCTACGCCAACACAGGGAGAACATGCAAACTCCACATAGAAACGACAACTGACCCAGTCGGGATTTGAATCAGTGACCTTGGCATGAGGCGGCAGTGCTAACCACTGAGCCACCGTGCCGCCCACTCAGGGTCTAAGCGCTTAATTTTTACATGGAAACTTTATTTACATTCTCTCCCTGATTTAGGGCAATGTGCAGGTGTTTTACCGGGACCTTCCTCTGTCCATTCAGGACGGATATGAGCGGTTTCTGTCCTCTGACACTGTGACTCTTCATCAGTATCAGGTTTGTTTCAGGTGTCGTCTGAATGAGAAAACACTCTTCTTAAAGGTGCACTCAGTATATCACCGTTAATATAGTGTCTGTAAGGGATAAAGTACATCCAGGCGGTTGTTATCACAGAATAAAGCAGCTGTTGTGTAAAACTGAAGGGGTTTATTCTTTATTATTACATGTCTGTCTGGAATTCTCTATTCTGATTGGTCAGTTGAGACATTCTAAGGTCTTTTACGCCACGGTTTTTTTATTTTTTTGACTGTCCGGCACCATCTAGTGTCTGAATAATGTGCAGGTTAGTGTATACTCCATCAGCTGTTTTAGTTTCTGTTGTGTTTTTGACTGTTTGTCTCCATCTAGTGTCTGAATAATGCGCAGGTTAGTGTATACTCCATCAGCTGTTTTAGTTTCTGTTGTGTTTTTGACTGTTTGGCGCCATCTTGTGTCTAAATAATGTGCAGGTTAGTGTATACTCCATCAGCTGTTTTAGTTTCTGTTGTGTTTTTGGCTGTTTGTCTCCATCTAGTGTCTGAATAATGCGCAGGTTAGTGTATATTCCATCAGCTGTTTTAGTTTCTGTTGTGTTTTTGACCATTTGTCTCCATCTAGTGTCTGAATAATGCGCAGGTTAGTGTATACTCCATCAGCTGTTTTAGTTTCTGTTGTGTTTTTGGCTGTTTGTCTCCATCTAGTGTCTGAATAATGCGCAGGTTAGTGTATATTCCATCAGCTGTTTTAGTTTCTGTTGTGTTTTTGACCATTTGTCTCCATCTAGTGTCTGAATAATGCACAGGTTAGTGTATACTCCATCAGCTGTTTTAGTTTCTGTTGTGTTTTTGACTTTTTGTCTCCATCTTGTGTCTGAATAATGCTCAGGTTTGTGTATACTCCATCAGCTGTTTTAGTTCCTGTCAGCTTTGTATTTTTGTCAGTTTGGCGCCATCTAGTGTCTGAATAATGCACAGGTTAGTGTATACAACAACAGCTGATGGAGTATACACGAACCTGCACATTATTTAGAGACTAGATGGCGCCAAACTGCCAAAAACACAAAGATGACAGAAACTGAAACAGCTGAATGAGTATACACTAACCTGTGCATTATTCAGACACTAGATGGCGCCAAACAGACAAAAGCAGTGATGTGCCTCAAACATAGAAATTTGGACGGGAACATGGTCGAACAATGATGGTCAAAATAATGCAATGTACCCGGATTAGCCTTCCTTGTTATTTTTAGCAGTTGTTATCTGGGAAAAACATACCTTGGAAATGCCACGACTGACCAATCAGAATTAAGCTTACCAAACCACTATACAAAAGAAGTGCCGAACATATAGTAGCACCTTTAAACCTTCACAAGTGTAATCTGTTTTCCTTTAATTTAGGTTTTTGGACATTTGAAAAGGCTTGGGTATGTTGTGAACAGATTTGATCCCAGGTAAGGATCATGTGATTACTCTCATTTGCGTGTATGAACTTTTATGACGTTGTGTTAAATTAGTATAGATTTCTTTTTGAAACTGTTACCTAATATTTGTGTACGGTTCTCAATTAAAGTCATCTATCACACAGTTCAGTCTCATCCACATATGAGAGACAGCTGAATCTGCCAGCATCGGACAAACAGAAGAAACAGCTGAAGAGGAAACGCTCTCAAAGTCCTGTGTCCAGGTACAGTTATTTTATTAATATTATTATTATCGGTTTATTAGCGATACCAACATTTGCAGCCAAAATTATGAGTTTTAATTTCTTTTAAAAGTATATAAGTGTTGCCCACAGTGTTGAGCTAGCAGAGACCAGTAAATTACTTGCGGTCTGCAGCCTCCGCAGGGGTCCAAACAGTCCTCTAGTGAATTTGTCATCCGAAACATGCAACAAAACGTAACGCGTTTCAGATTAGCAAAAGTGTTGCCAGCGCCCTTTAGTGGATTTTCCATCTGAAACATGCAGCAAAACATACCCTAAATAGCAAACTTTATAGTCACAAAATGTCGACAAGGCCCTGAAGTGGATTTGTTGTCTGAAACGTGCAGCAACATGTATCCAAAGTAACATTTATAATTCGTAGCAATGTCAACAGCGCCCTCTAGTGAATTTGCCATCTGAAACGTGCAAGAAAATTAATCCAGAGTAGCGCATTTCAGATTCGCAAAAAATGACGACTACGTCCTCTAGTGGGTTTGTGTTCTGAAACATGCAACAAAACACAGCCTAACATTTCAAATGAGCAAAAATGTCGAAAGCGCCCTCTAGTGAATTTATCTAAACGTGCAACAAAGCGTATCCAAAGTTGCACGTTTCTGATTAGCAGCGATGTCAACAGGGCCCTCTAGTGGATTTGTCATCTGAAACGTGCAACAAAATGTTTATAAAGTATTGCACTTCAGATACAGTATTGAGCTAGCAGACATATTAGTAGCGGCGATCACTAATACAAAAATAAAACTCGTGATCGGACACAAATGTGTTAATGAAGACGTTTAAGTGTCTGCTTGGGTTGTATTTAATGTTTTCAACGTGCTGCTGTCATGTCCATAAAATTATTATAGTGTTGTATCGATTTAGTATCAGTATCGTGATATTTAATTTAGGTATCGAAGTCAAAATTTTGGTATCGTGCAGCACTAGTTTGGATTACTTCCAAACTTGATGCTTTTGACGACGTTTTGAAATGTCAACAGCGCCCTCTAGTGGATTTGTATTTTGAAACATGCGTCAAAGCACAGGCAGACAAACATATTTCAGATTTGCAAAAATGTAGACAGCGCCCTCTAGTGGATTTGCCATCTAAAATGTGCAAGAAAATTAATCCAGAGTAGCGCATTTCAGGTTCACAAAAATGTCGACGACGCCCTCTAGTGGGTTTGTGTTCTGAAACATGCAACAAAACACAGCCTAACATTTCAAATTAGCAAAAATGTAGAAAGCGCCCTCTAGTGAATTTATCTAAACGTGCAACAAAGCGTATCCAAAGTTGCACGTTTCTGATTTGCAGCAATGTCGACTGGGCCCTCTAGTGGATTTGTCATCTGAAACGTGCAACAAAACGTACCCTAAGTATTGCAATTCAGATTTGCCCAAATGCTTTCAGTGCCCTCCAGTGGATTTGTCATCTGAAACTTGCAAGAAAATGTACCCAAAGTAACATTTCAAATCACTGGTAGCAAAAATGTAGACTGTGGACTCTAGTGGATTTGTCATCTGAAACGTGCAACAAAATGTATGCAAAGTAATGCACTTCAGATACAGTATTGAGCTAGCAGACCAGTAAATTAGTAGCGGTCTGCTGTCTCCAAAGGGGTCCATACAGCCCTCTAGTGGATTTGTTATCTAAGCATGCAACAAAATGTATCCCAAGTAACGTATTTCAAATTAACAAAAATGTTGACAGTGCCCTCTAGTGGATTTGTCATCTGAAACTTGAAACACAACATACCCCATGTGACGTATTTCAGATTTACAAAAATGTAGGCGGCGCCCTTTAGTGGATTTGTTGTCTGAAATATGCAGCAAATGTATTTAAAGTAACACATTTCTGATTTGTAGCAATGTCAACAGCGCCCTCTAGTGGATTTGTGTTCTGAAACATGCAACAAAACACAGCCAAAGTACCATATTTCAGATTTGCAAAGATGTAGAGAGTGCCCTTAAGTAGATTTTTCATCTGAAACATGCAACAGAACACACCCTAAATAGCGCACTTCATAGTTACAAAATGTACAACGCCCTCTTGTGGATTTGTTATCTGAAACATGAAACAAAACATACCCTAAATAGCACATTTCATAGTCTCAAAGTGTCGACAGCGCCCTCTAGTGGATTTGTTATCTGAAACATGAAACAAAACATACCCTAAATAGCACACTTCATAGTCTAGTGGATTTGTTATCTAAGCATGCAACAAAATGTATCCCAAGTAACGTATTTCAAATTAGCAAAAATGTCGACAGCGCCCTCTAGTGGATTTGTCATCTGAAACGTGCAAGAAAACACATCTAAAGTAGTAAATTTCTGATTTACAGCAGTGACAGCAGCGCCCTCTAGTGGATTTGTATTTTGAAACATACATCAAAGCACAGGCAGAGTAACATATTTAAATTTTGCAGAAATGTCGACAGCACCCTCTAGTGGATTTATCTGAAACGTGCAACAAAATGTATCCAAAGTAACGTATTTCAGATTTGCAAAAATGTTAACAGTGCCCTCTAGTGGATTTGTCATCTGAAACTTGAAACACAACATACCCCATGTAACGTATTTCAGATTTACAAAAATGTAGACGGCGCCCTTTAGTGGATTTGTTGTCTGAAATGTGCAGCAAATGTATTTAAAGTAACACATTTCTGATTTGTAGCAATGTCAACAGCGCCCACTAGTGGATTTGTGTTCTGAAACATGCGACAAAACACAGCCAAAGTACCATATTTCAGATTTGCAAAGATGTCGAGAGTGCCCTTAAGTGGATTTTTCATCTGAAGCATGCAACAGAACACACCCTAAATAGCGCACTTTATAGTTACAAAATGTACAACGCCTTCTTATGGATTTGTTATCTGAAACATGAAACAAAACATACCCTAAATAGCACATTTCATAGTCTCAAAGTGTCGACAACGCCCTCTAGTGGATTTGTTATCTGAAACATGAAACAAAACATACCCTAAATAGCACACTTCATAGTCTAGTGGATTTGTTATCTAAGCATGCAACAAAATGTATCCCAAGTAACGTATTTCAAATTAGCAAAAATGTCGACAGCGCCCTCTAGTGGATTTGTCATCTGAAACGTGCAAGAAAACACATCCAAAGTAGTAAATTTCTGATTTACAGCAGTGACAGCAGTGCCCTCTAGAGGATTTATCTGAAACATGCAACAAAATGTATCCAAAGTAACGTATTTCAGATTTACAAAAATGTAGGCGGCGCCCTTTAGTGGATTTGTTGTCTGAAATGTGCAGCAAATGTATTTAAAGTAACACATTTCTGATTTGTAGCAATGTCAACAGCGCCCACTAGTGGATTTGTCATCTGAAACGTGCAAGAAAACACATCCAAAGTAGTAAATTTCTGATTTACAGCAGTGACAGCAGCGCCCTCTAGTGGATTTGTATTTTGAAACATACATCAAAGCACAGGCAGAGTAACATATTTAAATTTTGCAGAAATGTCGACAGCACCCTCTAGTGGATTTATCTGAAACGTGCAACAAAATGTGTCCAAAGTAATGTATTTCAGATTTGCAAAAATGTTGACAGTGCCCTCTAGTGGATTTGTCATCTGAAACTTGAAACACAACATACCCCATGTAACGTATTTCAGATTTACAAAAATGTAGACGGCGCCCTTTAGTGGATTTGTTGTCTGAAATGTGCAGCAAATGTATTTAAAGTAACAAATTTCTGATTTGTAGCGATGTCAACAGCGCCCTCTAGTGGATTTGTGTTGTGAAACATGCATTAAAACAAAGCCGAAGTACCATATTTCAGATTTGCAAAGATGTCGAGAGCGCCCTCTAGTGGATTTGTGTTCTGAAACATGCAACAAAACACACCCTAAGTAACGTATTTTAGAAAATGTAGGCTTAGGAAGTATTCCAGTGAGCATGGGCCGACAAAATGAGTGGCCAATTTTGATCTAATGGTGACCTAAATTATCTCTTAATGCTAATTCATACCTTTTGGTTCAGTGATAAACACGGCATATCAACAGAGGAGAAGACGACATCTGAAGCTCACAATGAGCTAGCGGAGACCAGTAAACTACCAGCAGATCTGCAGGAGCCGGTACATTTAGCTGACGCACCTGAGAGGACATGGTGGATGGAGGAGGACGTCCAGCAAAAACACCCAAAAACCCAAACTGCAGCTCCCCGTTGGGACTTCAGCAGCATTAGTTTCCCAGATCTGGGCTCCCGCAGGAGATCTGAGCGTTTGGCGTCTCCACACCGCAGCCTGCTGCCGGAAAATGTAGATGTGGGTGAATGTGACGTGTCCCGCTGGCTGGGCAGACTCAACATGAAGCAGGAGAAGCTGTCGCGGCGGGACATGGAGCGACAGAGGGAGCGGGACAGATACCGCAGGGATGTTAACAGTGACCGGGAGGTGCGGCGCTGCAGGAACTGGGCAGAATATTCAGAGCTGATGGAGGAACGGAGGAGGCGGAGGAGAAAACACAGACCTGAACACCTGTGGGAGAGAGAGGAGACGCCGCTCACTCAGCCCGGACAGTGCACATCACACCGTAAGATGTACTTTACACTAGATGACTGAATAATGAGGCTTACTGGGAGAGGATTTAATGGTGACTGGGTAAAGACTGGAGAAGAGAAATGAAAGAAAGACAGAAAGAATGAAGGAAAGAAAACGAATGAATGAATGATGGAAAGATAAGGAAAGAAAGAATGAAGAAAAGAGAGGGAACAAAAGAAAAATAAATAAGGAGAGAAGTAAAAGAAAGAAAGGGGGAAAGAAAGATTGTTGGAAGAAAAGGAATGAAGGAAAGAAAGATAAGGAAAGAAGTACAAGAAAAAGGTGAAAAGAAAGAATGATGAAAAGAAAAGATGGAAAGATAAGAAAATGAAGAAAAGAGAGGAAAAGAAAGATGAGGAATGAAGTGAAATAAAGGGGGAAAGGAAAGAATGATGGCAGGAAAAAGAAAGATGGAATGAAAGAAGGACTGAAAGAAAAAGAAAGCAAGAAAAAAGGGAACGAAAGAATGAGTTAATAAAAGAGGGAAAGAAAGATAAGGAAAGAAGTAAAAGAAAGAGAGTAAAGAGAAAGAATGATTGAAAGAAAAAGAAAGGACTAAAGAAAAGACAAATAAAGAAAGAATGATGGAAAGAAAGCAGGAATGAAGAAAAGAGAGGGAAAGAAAGATAATGAAAGAAGTAAAAGAAAGGGGAAAGGTAAGATTGTTAGAAAGAAAAAGAAAGAAGGACTGAAGGAAAGAGAAAGAAAGAAAAGGAATGAAGGAAAGAGAGGGAAAGAAGTACAAGAACGAAAGTGAAAAGAAAGAATGATGCAAAGAAAAGAAAAAGATGGAAAGATATAGAATAAAAGAATGAAGAAAAGAGAGGAAAGGAAAGATAAAGAAGTAAAAGAGGGGGAAAAGAAAGAATGATGGAAAGAAAAAGAAAGAAGGAACGAAATAAGGACTGAAGGAAAGAAAGCAAGAAAAAAGTGAAAAGAAAGAATGATGGAAAGAAAAGAAAGATGGAGAGATAAGAAAAGGTAGAATGAAGAAAAGAGAGATGAGGAAAGAAGTAAAATAAAGGGGGAAAGGAAAGAATGATGGCAGGTAAAAGAAATAAGGAATGAAAGAAGGACTGAAGGGAAAAGAAAGCAAGAAAAAAGGGAACGAAAGAAGTAGTTAATGAAAGAAGGAAAGAAAGATAAGGAATGAAGTAAAGGAGAGTAAAAAGAGAATGATTGAAAGAAAAAGAAAGAAGGACTAAAGGAAAGAGAAATAAAGAAAGAATGATGGAAAGAAAGCAGGAATGAAGAAAAGAGAGGGAAAGAAAGAAAAAGAAAGATAAGTAAAAGAAAGGGGAAATGTAAGATTGTTAGAAAGAAAAAGAAAGAAGGACTGAAGGAAAGAGAAAGAAATAATGGAAAGAGCAGAAAAGGAATGAGGGAAAGAAGTAGAAGAAAGAAAGAGAAAAGAAAGAATGATGCAAAGAAAAGAAAAAGATGGAAAGATACAGAATAAAGCATGAAGAAAAGAGGGAAAGATAAAGAAGTAAAAGAAAGGGGGAAAAGAAAGAATGGTGGAAAGAAAAAGAAAGGCTGGAGAAAAGAAAGCAAGAAAATAGGGAAAGAAAAGTAGTTAATGAAAGAGGGAAAGAAAGATAAGGAATGAAGTAAAAGAGAGTAAAAAGAGAATGATTGAAAGAAAAAGAAAGAAGGACTAAAGGAAAGACAAAGAAAGAAAGAATGATGGAAAGAAAGCAGGAATGAAGAAAAGAGAGGGAAAGAAAGAAAAGGTAAAAGAAAGGGGGGAAGGTAAGATTGTTAGAAAGAAAAGGAAAGTAAAAAAGAAAGGACTGAAGGCAAGAGAAAGAAAGAATGGAAAGAAAAGTAATGAGGGAAAGAAGTAGAAGAAAGAAAGAATGATGCAAAGAAAGAAAAAGATGGAAAGATAGAATAAAGAATGTAGAAAAGAGAGGGAAAGAAAGATGAAGTAAAAGAAAGGGGGAAAGAAAAAGAAAGAAGGGCTGGAGAAAAGAAAGCAAGAAAATAGGGAAAGAAAGGAATTGATGAAAGAGGGAAAGAAAGAGGGAATGATCGAAAGAAAGAAGGTAAGAAGTAAAAGAAAGGGGGAAAGAAAAAGAAAGAAGGGCTGGAGAAAAGAAAGCAAGAACATAGGGAAAGAAAGGAATTGATGAAAGAGGGAAAGAAAGAGGGAATGATCGAAAGAAAGAAGGTAAGAAGTAAAAGAAAGAACAAACGCAAAGAAAGACAGTAAAATGAAGTAATGATTAAAAGAAAAAGAAAGGACTGGAGGAAAGACAAAGAAAGAAGAAGAAAGATAAGGAAAGAAATGAAAGAAAGAAAAAAGGGAAAGGAAAGAACAATTTAAAAAAGAAAGAATGAAGGAAAGAAAAAGAAGGACTGAAGGAAAGAGAAAGAAGGGAAAGGAAAGAAAGAACAATTTAAATAAAGGAATGCCGTTCATCACGTGTGCACCTCACAGAAAACAGCACTATGACTCCACTAAAGGCTGACTTACACTGTCGCCTGCACTGCAAGAAAAAGGTTCTCTTAAGAGTTTTTGTTTGTGGTAAATGCCCGTGTGACTTTCCTCTTGTTGTATTTTGTGTGCTGCAGGTGAACTGCTGGACCAGATCGGCATCATCAAGTCCTCTACTTTCTCTGAGGGTCTTTCCAGGTGTTTATACACTCTCACAGTTTGCTCTCCTTTTACTATCTTTCCCTGTCTGAGCGTTTGATCCATGTCAAATAAAGAGATATATTAATTCATTTAACGAAAATGAAACGATGGTGAGACAAACGATATCCATGTGTATGTCAAGTAGCAATCTTCCCAAACTAATACGGAAGTTACTCATACTGCAATTCTTCAGCTGGCCACTGGGGGCTGACCCCAAAACTGAGCATATTTACATTGACTCCAATGTTTAATGCAAGAAAGTAGGTATATTGAAAGAAAAAGAAAGAAGTGAAATGAAAGAAAGAAGGGAAAGGAAAGAACAATGCACACAAGGAATCAAGGAAAGAAAGAAGGAATGAAGGAAAGAAAGGAAAAGAAAAATAATGAAAGAAAAAAAGGGAAATGAAAGAAATAAATAAGGAAGAAGCGATGGCAACCTTCTACTCTCCCACTTGAAACTAATACAGCAGTAACTAAAACTGCAGTTCATCAACTGGCCACCGGGGGCTGGCTCCAAAACACAGCAAATTTACATTGACTCCAATGTTAAAATACAAGAAAGTAGGGAAATGAAAGAGAAACAGGGGAAAGAAAGAACGATGGACTGTAGGAATGAAAAAAGTAGGAAATAATGAAGGAAAGAGAAGTAAAAAAAAGAAAAAGAAAAGAAAGAAGCGAAAAGAAAGAATGGATTAAAAGTACAGAAAGGAAGAACAATGGCAACCTCCTGCTTCTTCTACTTGAAACTAATACAGAAGTAACCAAAACTGCAATTCATCATCTGGCCACCGGGGGCTGGCTCCAAAACACAGCAAATTTACATTGACTCCAATGGTAAAATACAACAAAGTGGGGAAATAAAAAAGAACGATTGGAAAGGAAAGAAAGAACGAAGGACAGTAGGAATGAAGAAAGGAAAGAATGAATGAAAGAAAGAAAAAGAAGAAAAAAATTAAAAGGAAAGAAAGACAGACAGAAAGAAAAGAATTATGGCAACCTCCCGCTCTCCCTCTTGAAACTAATACGGACGCAATTCAACATTCGAGTCTGGCTTTTTTAATGTTTAAATCTTTTTAAAGCCATTGTCCGTGTGTTTTAATGAAACTTACACCACAGTGATGTCATGAAACTGGCTGCTTTGACTCTTCTCTCAGAATGAAGCGAGTCAAACAAGCGTTCGAGATCATAATTAGCCTCTGTTTCCTCAGATTGTCCCCGTCAGACCAGTGGAAGATTAGTTTCGATGTTTACCAACCAGACACGGTGGCGGAGTTTAAAAAGAGCCACCCTGGAAAGCCTTACACACGCATGTGTGTCTGCAGGTAAACACACACACACACACACACACAATGCACCCAAATGAGTCCAGTGATTGATTTCATGCTTTATGATGGCGCACAATGACTGGTGTCTTTTACGTTTTGTCTTAATCATACAGTCGGTGGATCTTTACTCACTGCTGATTCATTCTGGATGATTAGTTTGGGTTTTTACTGAATTTATCAATGACATGGAACATAATACGGGGAAATCTAAACCTTTTGAGGTCTCATGTTTATTTACATGAGTAAAAGAGCAGTTTTTAGGCATATATTCTAAAGTACAGTATAAAAATTCTCAGATGAGATTAAAGCTAGCAGGGGTATTACTTTAAATCAGTTTAAATGTCAAAAATACTATTAAAATGGACTAAGATTTGTGTTTCTCAATGAATGCTTTTGGTTTACTATCATTTAGCACATTTTCAGTTCTGTGTGTGTGTGTGTGTGTGTGTGTGTGTGTACACATTTAGTTCTATGTTACAATGAGTGTTATGATTATTTGTATTCAATCGTTCACTTGTTTATTTTATTTTCGGCTTAGTCCCTTTAATAATCATGGGTCGCCACAACACAATGAACCGCCAACTTATCCAGCATACGCAGCGGATGACCTTCCAGCCGCAACCCATCACTGGGAAACATCCATACACACTCATAGACTACGAACAATTTAGCCTACTCAATTCCCCTTTGGCGCATGTGTTTGGACTGTGGGAAACCGGAGCACTCGGTTGAAACCCACGACCACACGGGGAGAACATGCAAACTCCACACAGAAATGCCAACTGACCCAGCCGAGGCTCGAAACAGCGACCTTATTGTTGTGAGGTGATCGTGCTACACACTGCACCATCGTGACAGCCTATTTATTTTCATCGGTTATTAATTTAGCATATATTTTCAGTGTAGTATATGTGTGTGTGTGTGTGTGTGTGTGTGTGTGTGTGTGTGTGGGTGTGTGTGTGTGTGTATACAAGTTCATTACTATTTTACATGGACTGTATGTTTATTCTGTTATTGTATATAATCCAGTATTCATTTTTAAAGTTAATTAAGTTTGTTAATTAATCGTTTATCTGCATATTTGGTCCATCCCAGCTATCACTATCTGCAAATTCCAAAATCAGTTGATCTATATCAGTTTGTGTGTGTGTGTATACACATTTAATACTGTTTTACAATGAGTGCTTTGTTTATTTATTTATTTTAATCCAGTATTAATTAATTAATCAGTTAATCAATTGATTATCTGCATGCATGGTCTGACCTAACTATCGGTATCGGCCAATATCGGTTCAGCTCTAATGATTTCTCTATTCAAAAATCTTAAAATATTTTATATTTGCTCTTATTTTCTCTCGCATAACTTCTATTTCACCGTAGTTTAAGCTCTATTGTTTATTTATTTATTAATTCATGCATTTTCCATCAGCTTAGTCCCTTTTTTCATCACAACAGAATGAACCGCCAACTATTCCAGCATGTTTTACACAGCGGATACCCTTCCAGTTGCAACCCAGTACTGGGAAACACCCATGCACACTCATTCACACACACACACTCCTACACTACGGCCAATTTAGGGATTCCCCTACAGCGCATGTGTTTGGAGCACCCGGAGAAAACCCGCGCCAACATGCAAACGCCACACAGAAACACCAACTGACCCAGCCGGGGCTCGAACCAGCGACCTTCTTGCTGTGAGGCCACAGTGCTAACCACTGAGCCACCTTCACTGCATATCATACCGTGTAACGTGTGTGACTCTGTATGTGAGCGTCTGATCTGACGTACTGTGTTTGTGTGTGTGTGTTTGTCAGTTTTGCGGGCCCTGTGCCGGATCTGCATGCTGTGAAGCAGCTCTCCTTCCAGAGCCAGGACGTCCCGGTGACATTCGCAGTGGTGGATCACGGTGACATCTCCTTTTACTGCTTCAAAGACTTTAAACTTCCAACTGATGTGTATTAAAGCTGCATTTATCAAACTACAACTCGACTCAGTACAGCACCTGTGCATCTCAGGGGGATTATGGACGGAGAGTTTACCCTAAAATAACCGTTTCTATCATCGTTTAGTGACTCTTATTGGATTAAAAAAGTCTTAATTCAAGAAGCTAAGCTTAGATAAGCACAAAATATTGTGTTGTTTACAGAAATAATGAGTCAAAATTAAGTGTTTTACCTTAAAACAAGTCAAATAATCTGCTAATGAGAGAAGAGAAATCATTTTTGAGATTGTTTCCCCAATTGGTGGATTATTTTCGCTTCTTTTATGGAAAAACTCAGTTAAATTTGACTCATTATTTCTGAAAACACCACAATATTTTGTGCTTTTCTAGAAAAAGCTTCTTGATTTAGGAGTTTTTAGATATTTGGACTAGAAATGAGACAAAAAATTGAGCAGGAAAGTCTTCTTGGTTGATGGAAGTCAGCGGTCACATTTGTCTAAAACTGAACTGAAAACAGCACCTGTGCATCTCAGGGCGATTACGGATGGAGAGTTCACCCTAAGATAACAGCTCTGTCATTGACTCTTATTGGATTGTGAATTAATAAAGTCTTAAATCAAGAAGCTTTTTCTGGATAAGCACAAAATATTGTCTGTTTACTGAAATAATGAGTTAAAATTAAGTGAGTTTTTCCTTAAAACAAGTCAAATGATCTGCTAATGAGGGAAGAGAAATCATTTTTGGCATTGTTTCCCCCATTGGCGGATTATTTAGCTTGTTTTGAGGAAAAACTCAGTTCATTTGGACTTATTATTGCTGAAAACAACACAATATTTTGTGCTTATCTAGAAAATGCTTCTTGATTTAGGAGTTTTTAGATATTCAAACTAGAAACGAGACAAAAAATTGATCACATTTGTCTAAAACTGAACTGAAAACAGCACCTGTGCATCTCAGCGGGATTACACATGGAGAGTTCACCCTAACATAACAGCTCTGTCATTGACTCTTAATGCATTGTGAATTAATAAAGTCTTAAATCAAGAAGCTTTTTCTAGATAAGCACAAAATATTGTCTGTTTACTGAAATAATGAGTTAAAATTAAGTGTTTTTCCTTAAAACAAGCTAAATAATCCGCCAATGGGGGAAGAGAAATCATTTTTGGGATTGTTTACCCCATTGGCGGATTATTTAGCTTGTTTTAAGGGAAAACTCACTTCATTTTGACTCATTACTTCTGAAAACACCACAATATTTTGTGCTTATCTAGAAAAAGCTTCTTGTTTTAGGAGTTTTTAGATATTTGAGCTAGAAACGAGACAAAAATCAAGCTAGAAAGCCTTCTTGGTTGATGGAAGTCAGCGGTCATATTTGTCTAAAACTGAACTGAGTACAGCACCTGTGCATCTCAGCGGGATTACACATGAAGAGTTCACCCAAACATAACAGCTCTGTCATTGACTCTTAGCACCAAATATTGTCTGTTTACAGAAATAGAGTTAAAATGTAGTGGTTTTCCTTAAAACAAGTCAAATGATCTGCTAATGGGGAAGAGAAATCATTTTTTAAATTGTTTCCCCCATTGGCTGATTATTAACTTGTGTTAAGGAAAATCTCACTTCATTTGGACTCATTATTTCTGAAAACAACACAATATTTTGTGCTTATCTAGAAAATGCTTCTTGATTTGAGAGTTTTTAGATATTTGAACTAGAAACAAGACAAAAAACTGAGCAGGAAAGCGTTCTTGGTTGATGGAAGTCAGCGGTCACATTTGTCTAAAACTGAACTGAAAACAGCACCTGTGCATCTCAGCGGGATTACACATGGAGAGTTCACCCTAACATAACAGCTCTGTCATTGACTCTTATTGGATTGTGAATTAATAAAGTCTTAAATCAAGAAGCTTTTTCTGGATAAGAACAAAATATTGTCTGTTTACAGAAATAATGAGTTAAAATTAAGTGAGTTTATCCTTAAAACAAGTCAAATAATCTGCTAATGGGGGAAGAGAAATCATTTTTGAGATTGTTTACCCCTTTGGCGGATTATTTAGCTTGTTTTAAGGAAAAACTCAGTTAAATTGGACTCATTATTTCTGAAAACAACACAATATTTTATGCTTATCTAGAAAATGCTTCTTGATTTAGGAGTTTTTAGATATTCGAACTAGAATTGAAACTAATAACTAAGCAGGAAAGCCTTCTTGGTTTGATGGAAGTCAGCGGTCACATTTGTCTAAATATCTTCGACATCCCACTGTATTCAGTGCCAGTAAACAATGACAGAATTGTCCGAATTGAATTCATTTTTGGGTGAAATGCTCCTTTAATTAGATTTTTGTCATCTTCAGGTTACACCAAAACAATCAACACCAGCGTCAGGGATGTCTTGTGTTTCAATATTATAAAAAATACTGATTTATCATTTGCTTCATTATTATTTCAGCTGCTGGAATTAATTTAATTGATCTGGTTACTTAGTGTTTTTGTTTATATACTCATGGTAATGATGGTTAATGTTATTTACAGCACACTCAATCTGTTGCTGAACGGGAAAAGCATTAAAAATGTTCAGTTGATTATTTTGTCCAGCAAACACTCAATAAAGCAGTCCTTTTCATCTGCTGTGTGTGTTCATCAATTGTGAGGTCCACCCAGTTGCCTCGATAAATTGGTCAGGTGACTACGCTTTGCCCTGATTGGGCAGGTGTATGTACTGTTTTGATAGGTCAGATGTTTTCTCAGCTGTGACTGGTCAGATGTCTGTACTCTGCTCTGATTGGTCAGACGGTTCTACTCTGATCTGATTGGTCAGATGTCTCCAATTTGCCCTGATTGCTCAAACGGCGCTACTTTGCTCTGATTGGTCTGATGCATACACTGTTTTGATTAGTCAGACGTCTCTATTCTGATTGGTCAGGTGTATGCACTGTTTTGATTGGTAAGATGGCTCTGCTCATCTTTGATTGTCCAGACGGTTCTACTCTGGTTGGTCCCACGGTTGTACTCTTAATTGGTCAGTTGGCTTAATTCACCTCTGATTGGTCAGTTAAGTAAAAGTTTGGCCTGATTAGCCAGATGACTCTGCTCTGATTGGTCAGATGGCTTTACTCTGATTAGTCATGCGTATGCACTGTTTTGATTGGTCAGATGGCTTTACTCCGATTAGTCATGCGTATGCACTCTTTAGATTGGTCAGATGGCTCTTCTCTGCTCTGATTGGTCAGACGTTTCCACTCAGATGACTACAATTTACAGCAATGTACAGAGACATCCTGAATGAAGACCTGCTTCAGAGTGCTCAGACTGGGGCGACGGTTCATCTTCCAGCAGGACAATGACCCAAAACACTGCCAAAACATCAATGGAGTGGCTTCACAATGACTCAGTGAATGTCCTTGAGTGGCCCAGCCAGAGCCCAGACCTAAATCCTATTGAACATCTCTGGAGAGATCTGAAAATGGCTGTACACCGTCACTTCCCATCCAACCTGATAGAGCTTGAGAGGTACTGCAAAGAGGAACGGGCACAAATTCAGGTGTGCCAAGCTTGTGGCATCATATTCAGAAAGACTTAAGGCTTTAAATGGTGCATCAACAAATCATTCTGCAAAGGCTGTGAACACTGATGCACATGTGATTTGTCAGCTTTTTTATTTTTAATAAATCTGCATCGACTTCAAAAACTCTTTTTACATTGTCATTATGGGGGATTGTGTGTAGAATGTTGAGTAAATTTTGGAAAAAGTCTGTAACATTAACAAATATGGAAAAAGTGAAGCGCTATCAATACTTTCCAGATGCACTGTAGGTATAAATTATATTAACAAATGTTAGGAGCATTGCCTTGCCATTGAATAAACATTTAAACAAGTATATTTTAGTGTATTTCATGCTAGACTGAAGTATTTAATTGTTTAAGTTTACAATAATAACACAAACAAATAGCTACAGGTGTGACGATCGACTTTTTCATTAGTGATACTAGTTAAGAAGAAATGTAATGTCTGTGTGTGCGTGTGTAATTTGAGAACACAAGTCATAATGAGTTTAAAGTCATGCCTCCACCATTACAATTAGTGTCAGACAAAGCATATATTCACATCAGGCAGGAGGACATCAGTCTTCAAACTCTTTGTGATGGTGGAGGCTGGCCGTCGCTCTCTCTGACTGTATATAAACGTGATCGGATGACAGCTCAGTGTTGATTTTGCGGTTGACGGTCAGCCATGTGTCTGCGGTGGCTCCTCTTTGCTCTGGCCTCAGTAGGTACGTCTGTTTTCAATTAAATTACTGTGATGTAGTGACAAATTTAGCATGTGTGTTTCTTAATACAATATTCTGATTAAACACAGCCTAAATGGCGATGAAAAACTTGTTATATTTAGCTTATAGATAAGAACTTAACCTGCTGTACACTGGAAACAAACAATTGTTAATCAGCGGTTGGGTTATGTTCGGGTGTGAAGTGCATTGTGGGATGTTGATCTCTGCTCTGGCGACTTTTGATGTTGAAAATTCAACTTTACAGTTTAACAAAGTGACTTTTATTGATATTTTTAGTCGTTCAAAATATAATAAATAGAGAAATAAGTCTGTAAAATAGCTGAAAATGTGCTGGCGGCTTATTACAAGGTGTTTGTAGTGTAATATACAACACCAACCAAGACAATATAGGGTCCCACTTTATATTAAGTGGCCTTAACTAATATGTACTTACACAGGAATTAAAAGTTTGTTACAATATACTTATTGTGTAAATACATGTATTTACTGTGTACTTATGCTTGATTAAATACATGCATGTAATTATAGCTGTAGTTAACTTTTGCTATTACATTTGTAAATACACTGTTGACCATTACCTACACCTTAACCCACCCTTAAACCTACCCATACCACCAAACCTGTCCATAACCCAACCTCTATCCCAACTCAAGAGCACCACAAGTGTCGACCAGCCTGGT